AAATAACAATTTCTAACTAAACACACTTCTTCAGGCCCATTTATACATTTTTGTTTCCTTAAATTATAAGGAAGTGTACGGTACTCATTTTAATATAGCTAAATATTTTAAATGTAAATTTAGCATAGGTATTGTATCTAAATTCCAAGCATTGGCTTAATTGGAAAGTCTAAGTAAAACATTTTTAAGTTTGATATGTATGTATTTTATTTTGTTTGTTGAATGGTCTTAGTTATTATATTAATAATTATTTATATTACTGACTAAAATTTATATAATGGCCACAATTTGGTCATGGGCATATTGCAACTTATTCTTTAAAAGATGAAGAACAATGCTTTCTTCTTTTATTAATTGTACTCTAATCAAAAACAAACTTCGTATTTTGCCTTATTATGCCCTTCCACCAGCAAGGGAACTAATTACATATACATCATTGTCTTCTGTTATTGGTTGATTGCTCGCTTTTCAATGCTTGGTGGATATAATGCACTCTTCCTGATTTTTTTGCTTTGGTGGATGGATGTAATGCGTAATTCTCATATTAATTTCATATTTATAAACATGTTTTGGGGTATATGATCAATTCCCATTATAGATTACATCCATAGGATGCCACTAAGCCAAAGATCTCAAGATTCTCAAAAATTGATATAATGCGTTTTTCCGAATCACGGCAGTATAGACCATTATTGATTTGAGATGTGAGTTTTACCTAGAATAATCCTGACTGCTCTTTTCTGGACCCTCTTCAATCCGTCGGACTGCAGAACTGTCAGAGACGAATGCCACATCGGGCAGCAGTACTCGAGGATCGGCCGTATATAACAAGTATAAACTTTAACCAGGTCACTGACAGAAGCAAACGCCGAGAGGCCTTATTACAGATTTCACTCACATGATTATCCCAACTTAAGTTATTTGTGACATTAACGCCTAGAGCTTTAAGTCTATCAACATGAGAAATTGTACTATTATCCCCAATAATAAACGATTCAATAACAGTGGGTTTCTTAAGAAAACTTATTTTTATGTGGTGACATTTGGTTTAGGAATCATGTAATTATGGGAACTCCAGTTAATGAGATCATCTAAATTGGTCTGCAAAGTGGAATTATTCCCACGTTAGACACATTCTCCAATAGTTAGGTCATCAACATATTTCCATCGTCTGCAGCTACCTAGACAAGCATCATTAATTAAAATTAAGAAGAGGATCGGACCCAATTTTGTACCCTGAGGGACCCCACAAGTAACCGTGTTTAAAGATGAGAGTGTATTGTGAGTTCTGTCTTTAAGGAAGCTGCAGACGATGGGAATAAGTGATCGCAGGACTCCAATATCAATCATCTTAGATATCAAAACATTATGATTAACAAGCTCAAATGCCTTAGTATAATCAATTGTAACTAGATTGATGTAAGTACCAGGTTCATCTAGATTTCTATAAACAAAATTCAACATTTCAATAAGATAATGGGTTGTCGAAGATCCACGCATATTGCCAAATTGTTGGTTGTCAATATTACAATTAATATCTTCCATTATCCAGTCACTTATAAAAGATTCAAAAACTCTCGCAAAAATTGGTGTGAGAGAAATGGGCCGCATATCATTAAAGTCGGTCGAATTCTGCACTTTGAGTATTGGGACTATTGTGGCGGTTTTCCAACAGCTACAAAATTTTCCTTGCTGAAGGCGGTATTCATCATGGTACATAACGGTTGGGACAATTCATATGTAAATTTCCTATTAAGTTTAACAGATATGTCAGATGGGTGACAACTTTTGTCAGGATCTAAACGCAAAAGTTTCTTTATAATTTGACCTCTATAAATTATCGGGACACTATTAGAAGCTGGCAGATAGGCAGGTAGGTACTTAATATCGAGTTTTTCTAAACGTTGATATACACTTACGAAATGATTATTTAAATCTTCAACAACACTTAATGTATCCCTCTTATTTAGGGTAACCTGTTTATTCTTTTTACCTAAGTGACATAGATTCTTAATTCTACGATGCCATAAGTTCGCTTGGTTACACTGTAACTGTCCAATGTTGTGTTTATAAACGGTTTTCTTTGCTTTACAAATTTCTCTCTGAATTTTATTACGAAGTCTTTTATAGTCATCATTTCTTCTTTTTAAAAGCCTTATCCCGTTTCTTCACCAATTTCCGTAATTTATTGTTGAACCACGGTTTGTACGATTCATTTTTTTATGGTAATCTCCGGAATATATAATTCATATGCATTACAAAGTTGGGAATTAAATTCTTCAGAAATGAGATCTACATATTTATCTCCAGAAAGACACCAGTTATATTGGGTAATTCATCTTCCAAATACTAAAACATTAGATTCCTTAAACGGTCTCACAGTCTTCGTAAATCTATGTGATTTCGGAAGAATTTGATTACGCCTAATAATAATTGATTTGTGGTCACTTTTTCCGATATTGGCAATTGGTGCAGTCTCTCTGAAAAAGGAAGGATGATTAATAAAAACTAAACCTAGCAATGCATTGTCTCTTGTTGGAAAGTCAACGATTTGCTTGAAATCAAGTTTAGTAATGAAATCCGTAGTGTCTATACGATTAAAGTTACCCATAATCAATATTGTAGCATAAGGTTCCTTGCTTCTAATTAAGTCAATGAATACTGAGTTATAATTTAGTAATTATAAAGGTTGGCCTTAGCATTCAAGGCAAGGCCAATTTTTGCTTTAAAAAAAAGGCCAGTCGTAACTATTACCGGTATTATAAAATTCTTTCGGGTATTTCTAAGAGATTTATAATAGTGAAATGATCAATAAATAATATGGTAATCCAGACACGTTAGCAGAAACTACTGATGCAATAATATTCGGAGAGCAACTTAGCTCAGTCGGTTAAATGAAGGTAACCATTGGGTGTGCGGTGACCCTATTTAACCTTTTTGAACCTTGGTGCTTGGTTCAATTCCTGTTTTCCGTTTCTCGGTGATAGATATTTTGGTGTTACACACTAAAGGTGACCCACTGAAGTCTGATTACTTATTTGTAGATGAGTCCTTTCAATAGACTGCTGGTCTTTTATCCACGATGAGAGCGACGTGGGCGTGGTCGGACGTCGCCCAAAAAGTCGTCAGAAGGAAAAGGCCCTGCAAACTATAACAATTTCGAAGTTTTAAATTTTATTTAACTAATTTTAGAGTCTGCTAATAATTATGTAAAAAATATATATGATTTGTTCCTCCCCGATGAATTGTGGTTATTCTCGATGGCGCGGGACTCTAGCGTGACCCCTGCTTTCATCACAAACTGAAACACGAATAAAACAGGGATTGGATTGAACCAAGAGGCGGAAGAGTATTTTTGGCGTGAAACACACATAACTCTTTAAAAATAAAAACTTTTACTTTCATGTGGGGTCCTTCTGGTGGAGATTGGGCAGTACATGGGAAGACAATGCCCTATTAAGCAATAGTAGAGCTCCGCATACTACACTATAGGAAAATTATTATACGAAGGTTAGATTTAATACTGGAAAAAATGTCCCGAGGGCCTGCAAGGCCCGAAGGAAATTGTATTGTGTTTACTTGTTTGTAATGCTGTTTCGATAGACATTCGTCAAAGAAATAAACATTTCTTAAAGCATTCGAGAGAGAATACAGTCACTTAATTTTTGGTCAGTGCAGACAGGTAAAAATCGTGGGACTATTTCATAACTAAGCCTAGCCTACGCTAGGATACGTCCTAGGTCTAGCACTAGTAGGTGGAGGCCTCGGCGGCCTCCGGTCTGGCCGTTGGCCTACATCTAATCTCCTTCCTTTAAAATTCCTTTAGAGTCTTTATATAAGTAGAATATTCCAATTAATTTTTCATACTTAATATTAAATTTTAAAAACTAAACTTCTTCGGGTTCTAATTAACCTTGTTTTACAAAAGTAGTTTTTAATTACAATTCAATTTTCATCGCGGGGTGCGATATCTTCGCGGTGACGGAAAATTTTGTGTTTTTTTTTAACACCAATCTAAAAATAATCAAGCCAAGCGTCCACTATTGGACAAATTATTGGACTGTGGGTGATAGGCAAATAACATTGGGAGTTGCAGTGATGACGTCACGATTGAAGTTTTATATTCTTTAACGAGCACATGGGCCATATTCCACACGGGGCCAACGGCTTAAGCCGGACACTCACTTCGTCGTTCGACGGTCGTACAGCCGTCGTACGACGAATTCAACTTCGCTCACTAAGTGCTAGACGACGTGACACCGTCTGCTGATTGTCGGTGGCAGTCCGAACAGATTATAATTTAATAACAAAAGATCCTTAGCGCGTGTCATGGACGACCGTAGGGCAAGGGGGCTTGACCTGTCCGGTGGGGGGGGGCTTAAGCCCCCCTGCCACCCCGCTGGTGCCGCCACTTCCCGGCTTTAAACATCTCATCCGCAAATGGTGCAAAGTTGCAACTTGTTTTCAGCCCTGACAAATTTTGCATTCAAATAGGATGTTGAAAATTATCATACATTAGGCCTACTCTAATTGTTTTGCATAATTTTTTTAAATTTTGTATAATATAAAAGAAAGGTTTTAAATGTAAAGTAGAAAAAAAATCTGACTGAGTGTGGGTATTAACGAATAAAAAAAAATTTACTCATGTATATTTAACATAATGAAATATGATGATATGATTGTGATGAATAAATGTGGTGATTCCGCCATAAAATGGAGAAAGGGAGAAAAAATTCAATCACCAAATTATTTTCAACAAATTTGGTGCGGCTTAAGGTATAATATTAGTAATTTTGATAATCTAAAAGAAAATATATATTGTACATGACGGAAGCATAGAATGAACTATGATAACGAATATGTATATAATATAAGTAATTTATTGCAAATATTCAGGATACAGTAAAAACGCCAAAGGTCTTTAAAAAGTATACTGAGCGGGGTGGTGGGGGGGGGGGGGCTACTGGAGGGATGATCTATAGGGGAAACAACCCCACCCCTTAGGTACGCCACTGCATAGCACTAACCTGACCTCCACAACCAGACTTCTCTTTCCATTTGCAACTTAGAATCGTGTCGTCATTGAGCTGAAATCCAGTTCTGTTGGTAAATTCAGACGTGCTAAAGTGTTCATTGGTAAAAACATCATCAAACTGAATACTCGAAATTCCATTTGCATACTCTTCAGAGAAGTAGTCGTAGTCTTCGGCGTCCCATAGATATTTTATAACATTCCTATCATAATCAGTGAGGTAGGAACTTCGATACCTAATTAAAGTAATTAATAAATACATACATCAATTTTTATCACTTGAATTAAAAATGTTTTCAAAATGTTTGTCTATGGCTAAGTTCAGACCTGAGAGATATTCCAGTCGTATCTAACGCCGGGCGTACTTTAATTCGTGGCGTAACTGGGCGAATAACAAATGTCAATCGTGACGTCATCACTGTAACTCACAATGTTATTTGCCTATTCCTCAGCGTCCATTAATTTTTCTATTAGTGGACGCTCTGTCTCTTATACACATCTAGATGTGTATAAGAGACAGGGGGTCTGTTGCTGGATTACCGTACGCCAGTGATT